CTGCAGGGCTAAAGGACAGGAAGAAAACCAAAAGAAGTTCAAACATCCGTAGACAGCGAACTGTCAAACTGAAAACATCAAATTTAAGCATCACGGAAGTGTTTTCGGATCAGTGTTTTGGAGTCCCAGGGTTGCTGCCTGAACATCCTGGGAGGCGACTGATGTACGGATGCCACAACAGTTTTACACAATGTCTGGGACGCACATTTGTCGGTACGCTGTCAGCTGTGTTACTGTTCAATGAAAGTCACCGAACAAAAGCAACAGCTCATGGATAATTCCATAACTTTATCCTAAACCGAAAAGCGTCTAGTACCATATCGCCCGGCTGAAAAGTGGATGTGAAGTTACTCTGGTATAAGCATCAGAAAAACATGCCATGGAGACACACCTTCCAAGCTGATTCCGTGAATCACATCCACTGGATCGATGGCATTGCCAAGCGATTTGCTCATTTTCTTCCCATGAGCATCGCGCACCATTGCATGCAAGTAGACCGTGTCGAAAGGGAGTTTTCCGAGTAAACGCAATCCGACCATGACCATTCGGGCGACCCAAAAGAATAGGATATCGTGTCCTGTTTCCAATAAATTGCCCGGATAATAGGCGCGCAAGTCGGGCGTATCATCAGGCCAACCGAAAACGGAGAAAGGAAAGAGTTGTGAGGAGAACCATGTATCCAGTACATCTGTGTCCTGAGTGAGACGAATCACATCCGGATGGCAATTGAATTGTTGACACAAGTGCTTAACGCTCGGGGCTGTGCAGCGGTAAGAAAAAGCCAAAGTGGTTAGGGATCTGAACGGGCAGTGATCAACACCAACCAGTCCGGTGAAGTACAGTGAAACGCTTACCTGACTGCATTCCAGAGCTTGTTACAGAAAAAGCGATATCCCTGTACACGTAGGATGTCCAGATTGATGTTTCGTCCTTGTTTGGTGTAAGCACAGAGAGCAAAGCGCAACGCGTCCGTCCCACATTCAGGAATACCTTTTGGGAAGTCTTTGGCCTGAGCCTCACATGCACGCTTCAGTTCTCGAGGATCTAAATTGCCAGTTTCAAGTTGCTTCTGCAGGGCTAAAGGACAGGAAGAAAACCGAAAGAAGTTCAAACATCCATGGACAGCGAGCTGTCAAATTCAAAGCATAAAATTCAAGCATCACGGAAGTGCATTCGGATCAGTGTTTTGTAGTTCCAGAGTTGCTGTCCGAACATCCTGAGAGGCGATTGATGTAAGGATGCCACATCAGCCTGTTTTACTTTGGGACGCACATTTGTCGGTACGCTGTCAGCTGTGTTACTGTTCAATGAAAGTCACCGAACAAAAGCAACAGCTCATGGATAATTCCATAACTTTATCCTAAACCGAAAAGCGTCTAGTACCATATCGCCCGGCTGAAAAGTGGATGTGAAGTTACTCTGGTATAAGCATCAGAAAAACATGCCATGGAGACACACCTTCCAAGCTGATTCCGTGAATCACATCCACTGGATCGATGGCATTGCCAAGCGATTTGCTCATTTTCTTCCCATGAGCATCGCGCACCATTGCATGCAAGTAGACCGTGTCGAAAGGGAGTTTTCCGAGTAAACGCAATCCGACCATGACCATTCGGGCGACCCAAAAGAATAGGATATCGTGTCCTGTTTCCAATAAATTGCCCGGATAATAGGCGCGCAAGTCGGGCGTATCATCAGGCCAACCGAAAACGGAGAAAGGAAAGAGTTGTGAGGAGAACCATGTATCCAGTACATCTGTGTCCTGAGTGAGACGAATCACATCCGGATGGCAATTGAATTGTTGACACGCGTGTTCCAAGGCTTCTTGTTCCGTGCGACCAACAACCCACGAACTGTTCAGTGTACCCTACACATTGGAACACAAATAAATGAGTACTTTTAATTTGAGGAGATTAAACACAGGGGCGCCGGTGATTGACAATGAAACTCACGTCCAACATATCGTAGGCACCTGTCTCTGCGTTGAAAATGGACACATGATAAGCCGGAATACGGTGCCCCCACCATAACTGCCGAGAAATACACCAGTCATGACAATCTGTTAACCAGCTGTTCCAAGTACGAACGTGCATCTCGGGCACGATGCGTAGACGACCCTCGGCTACCTGGAAGGGACAGAGACAGAGAAATGGTCAACGATGAAAACCACACGGAATTGTCAAACACAGTATCGGTACTAGTAGCAGGTCGACTCTGTCCGAACAAAAGCGCGTGAGCTGGAAGAAAGCGGTCTGAGTTTTCAGAAATACTATGGTCGGACATGGAACCAACCGGACAAATAAATCTATGGACGACCTGGCGTGTCACGACCATGTTACACCGGTTCCTCCACCCAGTCGCGCAAGATTGTTTAGGTTCATTACGGAATCTAGATGGAATCTGAGCAAGGTAATGTCAGAATATTCCAAGTCGTTAACAGTCTTGTCCTGAAGTAAGCTCCAAGATAGTGTGCATGTATACGGTAGTGGTTTCTGCCGCAATCAGTTTGAGTGTACCAGTTGTTGCACAGCCGTTGGGAGCGCGGAAGAATATCCAACCAAGATTCTCAGGCATCTATGTGGATCGGACTGAAATAGTGCGGCGGAAATGTAGGGCACCAGAAACAGAATAGACTAACGTAGATGTTCAACGTATATGGCGGGGTTCCGGGAACTGTCGGTGATTGTAAGTGTATCGTTTGATATGACAAAGTATGCCAACGCCCTCGGTCTCTGTGAGGGTCCTTTTGTTTGTTTTGGATTCCGTAAGGCTACTGATATTCGGCACAGGTCATGCCGCAGTACCTAACTCAAATGAGTAACGAGATCAGTCGCGGCAACATGGTGCGAGCTAAGGATAAATTCGACTCATTCTATATAGATCAGTTTCACGGTCCTATATATATTCAAGGCGTTGGAGGAGAAAAATTCGGTCAAACTGTAGTCTTTCAGTAAATAGAAAACCTAATGCATAGGATGTCGACTGCTAATGTGGCCTAATTCAACATCAACTCGGGTACCATTCACACGGGGATCTTTTTAGAGAAATTCCTCCTCTGACTAGCTCACACAGGCGCTCAGCCACGACTGCTGAGTCGTCCCACCGAAGGTAGTTCAACCCCAGGACGGGCCAAGTACCTCCACTCTCCATGGTGGTCATGACGGATGTTGACTCACAGTTCAAAGATTTTCTACACCTAAGTCGAATTTTCTCAAAGTCTTTACTTGTCACAAGAAAGCTGGAAACTTTGTGAGCATATTTTCAAAGAGAAACGCACGGGCCAGACTGATTGGAATGTGTAGTATTGAAAGGAAGAACTGGAATTCTCATTGGAAACTGCCATGCCACCCGAAGGTTGCACGAGGGGTGGGATACTGCAAGGTTTCCCAAGCCTAGACAGGGAAGTCGAGAGTCAGAGGTCGGGCCTGAATCACGGACCTTCCGGTCAGTAAATTCGCGCTCTAACCAGTTGGGCCATCTCACCCCCTCTCATTGGGAGACAAACAATACATACATACCTCCTTCATAGCCTCGTTAGCCATTTCCTGACATCGCATATACCATTGGGGTTTGAGAAGCGGTTCAATGACGTCCTTGCTCCTCGAACACATCGGAACGACCATGGGATTATCCTTTTCACCGTGATATAGACCCAATTCTTTCAAAGCTTTGCGGACTGCTTCACGTGCATCGAATCGTTTGAGGCCTTAACGATAAAATATGGGAAAATTGGTGACTGTTTAGGTGGTTGTGGGAGGGTGTTTCAAGGTCAGACGAACGATTAGTTGGATAACTTCAATATGGGATGTCTAAGTCGCCCACATTTTGCTCAACGACACATGTGATAGGAAAAAGGCACGCGCACACACACATTACTGATGCGAATCTAGTGAGCCATTAGTACCTGCAAATTTTGGGCCTGCAGCAGCAGTCATTTTTCCATCTTCATCAATGACAGTGATGGCAGGTAAGTTGTGGCGCATCCCAGCCTCCCAGTCGTTATGATCATGTGCCGGGGTCAACTTCACTGCACCAGTACCGAACTGACGATCGACAAATGTGTCACCGACGATTGGTAACAGACGATCCGGCACCAAAGGATGTTGAATAGTACGCCCGATGAGGTGCTGGTAACGTTCATCTTCTGGGTGGACGGCCACTCCCGTATCACCAAGCATTGTTTCCAACCGCGTTGTGGCCACTGTCAACCGAATACCGTCTGCAGGATCTCCGGGCTCTGTGAAAAAGTTACGGAGGATGGATGGTCATCGAGCCTCGTCCGAAAAAAAGCATAAAAGCGAGATTACCGTCACCGTATTTTCACCTGGTACAAGCGGATAGTCAAATGAAACAATGACTCCAAACGCCACCGGTTTATCGTAGCCCGGGACTGGGAGCAGAGTACGACCGGTCAATTCCCGTTTGTCTACCTCAATGTCGGAGATAGCCGAACGCAGACTGCAGGACCAATTGACCAGACGTAAGCTTCGATAGATCAGGCCCTGTTCGTGTAGACGACAAAACGCCTCGGTAACTGCACGACACATGGACGGGTCCATGGTGAAACGAGCACGCTCCCAGTCGCAAGAACTGCCCAACGCGCGCAGCTGTTGGTAGATACGGTCACCTTTTCTAGAATTGGAAACAACAAAAAACGGTGGGAACAATGGACTCATGATAACTAGGAACTGAGTTGACTAGTTGTGAGAACACTCAGTTTCGGAGAAACTATTAATCCGTGGCAAGATTATGAAGTCTTGCCAAACGAGTTAAGATTTGAACTGAGCACGAAATATCTTACAAGCTACTCAAATTGTTGTCGGTCCGATGTGGATGGCAGCGGTCTTTTCCTGGAGGTCTAACAAAACCATGGAACACCATTCCTTGGGAACTCCTAAAGATCAATTTCTAATTGCGCGGTGGAAATCAGTCGATATTCCTATGACTGTGAAACCGACATGCCCACTTTGGTTAAGCAAACCAACATGGGCTTCGTTCTGACTACCAGATTGAAGGACAGAATTCAGATCCGATACACTGACAGACTTCATAAGAGGTTTGACGTAAGCAACTTGCTCTGAAAAACACTACCCCCCAGAACATCATTATGTTTCTGATTAAAAATTGGGCAGGCCCGTTGAATGAGTGAACGTAACACGTGGCCAACAAACGAACTACCTTCAACGCATCATGAGTGTCATAGAAGCTTCAAAAAAAGAAACCCACTCTTCCTTCCATTTCCAAACCTCTTCAACGAACGCATCACGTCCAAGGTCATGCCTGGTAAGGTTTCTTTCACGCCACAACTTTTTCTCAACAACAACCTGTAAACGAAATGAGGGAGGTTGATCAAATCAATAGATGGCAGACAGACTTGCTCTTGGTACCCCATGAGTTGAAATCACACGATGTGACGAGTCTGGATATCGAAGATAGTAAGCCAGTGAAAATTGTTTGTTTTTGGTGACGGAGAATCAATGTTGACACTGAAGGGTGACGCCATAGGATGCTAGTGTTCATAAACCTAGGGATTGTGCGGAGTCAGTTACTTTCGTTGAAAAAAGTCGCTGAAATCACGAGTCTTCCACTGGGTCCATGCGTGTGAACTAACGACATGAAGCCTTCTGTAGAATCGTCCAACGCAACGTGAGCCACACTATGGTTTGGCATCCCTGAATGGGGCTCTGGCAGGTTCACATCGGAACCAAACCTACCCGTAACACCAAGGAATTCATTCGTACATGGCTTATGGTGTGTCTCATCGCGGTATCAAGCAAGCAGTACATCACACGCCCACTATTCGGTTGATGTCCTCAGTTCACTCTTACTGAGGCTTGAACAAGTCCATGGGTGAGGAGTGGTAAATGAAACAGGCCTAAGCATTGTTTTAGCGATGTTTGCTGTGCAAAAGTGTTCATAACTAGAGTGACTCATCAGAGTGTACTTCAGAAAAGCATGGAGCGCACTGTCACCGACATGACTAAAAAAGTAAACTAAGCCTACACGTTCTAGCGACACGCGATCGATCGCCCCGCATCCAAATTACGAGTTCCGATACGGAAGGAGCGCTCGGTGGACTGCTTCCCCCCAAACTAACCACATTGTTTTAATAATCTAAGTCTTGAATCCAAAGGCCTGACGCTTATGACATCTTTGTCGAAGGTCGTGAACGGTTCGGAATAACACTCAAACTCTACCTCAGAGATTAAGTCAAGCGATCACTTCTGACGATTGAACCATGTTTCTTACAGTAGGAAATTTCGTAGTTACAAAGGTATAGAGTACGTCACCGGCAGGAACTTAACAGCGATCGTCATGGTAACTGACTAGAAAAACATGAGACAAGATTCTCGAGCGAGTAACTCAATCTTTTGGGGCCTAGAGTAAGCTGGGCGTCAGTCAGGTCGTGTCCACTTGTACAGAGTTAAATAGGCTTTACAGTCATTATTACGCAGAAGCTTAAGTCAATAAGGCCCGTTCTGTCCTTATGGACCAGCGACCTCTTGGAGCTTTAACCGGCCAACCCAATGATACGAATTAGAAATTGACTTCATCTACAGTGAACATGATTGACACAAGTGTCTAGCAAATCTCTGAGTCATCAGTTTACCAGTAATTAGCCGGGTAGAGGCCAAAGCATCAGTCACACAAACAAGTCTCCCTCTCTTCACCCACAGCTCAAAAAATGAGTGTACTGAAACAGACACATGGGTTTGCATTGGGCTCACCTTTCACCCTCACATAACTCAACCGATGCCGCGTGAAACTACTCGGATTTCGCCAACTTTAAGGATTCCCGGAGGTCAAGTTTGAAGCTGGTCATGCAAGACGAAGCCAAACAACTACAGTACAAGGGAACTCGTCTGACATTCGAATTCGTAAACGAACACTGTTGATTATCCTCGGAAAGGATTAAACAGTTATGAAGAGCATCTCAGACTCCCAGCATCGACTCACTCAATTATACACGAATAAAACTTATCATCCGTAACTGATGAAAATAGCCCCTCCGTCAGGCGGGTACTGCACACAAACACCGAGGCCTCCCTTACCTGTGTGGCTATTCCAGCATGATCACAGCCCGGAAGCCATAGGGTCCGATCCCCATTCATTCGGTGCCACCGAGTTAATGCGTCCTCAATGCTGTTGGTCAGTGCGTGTCCCAAGTGCAGGTTGCCCGTGACGTTCGGGGGTGGAATGACCATGACAAATTGGTTACGCGGCTCCGCAGAATCAGACTGAAAGACGGTGGGAAATTGAAAGTGACAAACTGGTCAACCAATGCCTAAGCAGTCCACGCACTAATCTCATACACGCATGTCCCTGCTGAGAAGACTGGAATTGTTTGACTCAGGTTTGACGACCACATTCTTTGTAGGTGCAAGTTCAAATTACACTATAAAAACAAATGCGAGTCCTTGAAATAGGCCAGCAGCCACCTTTGATGTGAGTATGGGACTTCATCTAAGGCTGCGTAGCACCAAAAATTTCCATGCAAAAAGAAAAACAAAGGGAGCTAGACATAAGTCATGTAAGGGTGCTGTCAAAGAAAGGAAGAAAGCCTCAAAGTTCAAGCGGTCTTCCATAAAATGTCTGGGATACAATCATGAGGAATACCAACGGCAAACAGTGCGGATAAAAAGACTTACCACCGGGGTGGAACTCACAATGAAGAGTGGATATATTTATCAAAATCTTGTCATAAAACGGGGTCAGGGAAGAATGGATGAAGCTATCGGCGTGGTCTAGTTGGGAAGGGTGGAATATACGAACGGGGAAGTTATTAAGTCCCTAGGAGAGAGGCAGGACAAATCCAGGGGATCCCCATTCCTAGCAAGCACTTGAATGACGTGTGAGCCGAATCAGACTCGCGCTTGACATGGTAGGATACATAGGGAGAGTCTGCAAAGGCATTTTGGGTCAAGCATCCTAGAGGGTTGACCATGAAACTCAATATCCTGAAGACCAGCTAATACAAACTGCCCTCTTAAGCGGAGAATTGGCATTGGGCCAGAAGGTATGGACAGCAAACTGCGTTACCTGATATTCTGGTTTAAAGAATCCGCATTTCTCCCACCAATCATACCAGTGTGCTTCCACATATGTAGGTGAATAGGATTCTGGCATCGTTTGGCCCACGTCTGGAATAAATGTCGGGTAGGATCAACGGTGGGTAAATTGACAAACCTTTCATTCCATTTTCCATCACAGAAGGAATTACCATATCTGTATCCTTCTTCTTCTTCGGCTCCTTTCCTTTTTTCTCCTGGAGAAGCGTTAGGCTCATAACAGACGGAGTCATACTTTTACGTTATCAGTTGCCTTTGCCTTCTTCTGCTTAGCTTCAAACTTTTCAAGCTTTTTGCTACGTTTAGCATCTTTCTTCAATTGTGCTTTAGACTTTGCATCTCCACCATCACCCATTGGATCCTCAATATCTGGCATATCTGCAGATTTCTAGTCGAACGGCTGAAAGCATGGTGGGATTAATTAGACGACATGCCAAGTTAGTGCCCACTTGAATATGGAACCAAAACACTATTAAAAACGACCGTAGGAGAGGTCCTGAGAACCGAAAAGTAAAAGCTAAACATATAGACGTAATACACTGATCATAAACGCGGGATTCAGTTGGATTCCAGGTAAGTCTCTCGTCAAAACCAGACTGGTATGCAAACGAGCGCAATTCGCTAAAAGGTGAGTACTTTTCCTTCCGGTATAAAAACCAGATCATCAACACCAATAGCACATCAGTGTTCAACACTGATACCTCGCCGCCACGCAGCCATAATTTACTTGAATGTTATATTGTGAAGAAAAGAGTAAAAATGGATAGAGAAGAGCTGGTCTGATGAAGTGCTCACGTTTCTAAATAGCCATTCAGATACTCTCGATAGAAAGTGAAAACAAAGACACAGGCATTGACTAGTGTCTCTAAATATGCGTGCCTCATCCTGGAAAGCGAGTCACACCAACGGCACCTGGACTCTTCGTAAGCGACCCCATTTCCCTCAGCCAGATCAAAAGTTGACCACTCCTCTGCTCACGCTACTCCAAATAGGGCACAGAAAGCAGCATTTTTCAGTGAACGAAGATTCATCACGCGCAGTACAACCCACTGTATCTCTGTGTGGTAGACACATTTACCCACTTGCTAATTGTCTCGTTGAGGATTCGAGGGTACCACCCTACATGAGATATGGTTCTGAAACAACGGTTGTCAAAGACCTGAAGACGTTTCATTTCTACTGCTAACGGAAGGTACGTGTCACAGCCATACAATAAAATAGCCAGTACTGTAGCCTGACAAACAAGTCCCTTGAGATTCAGGGATATGTCGCTTTGCTACCATGGGTGTCTCACCAACACACGCAAGCCCAGCCTTAGAAGTTGGTGCAATAACCTCATTTGTCGCACTATAATCCGAACTAATACACCTTCCAATACCAGAAACACGCTTCACTTCGAGTGCCTCCCTTGAATTGCAAGTGACGTGTTCAGTGACCACATGTCCAGGAGCATGACCTTGCAATTTGTGGATACGAAGCGCGTAACTTTGGTCAATTCATTCAAAAATACCTGTGCCTTCTCTTCAAATACGAGAACAATGTCGCCTGCGTTTTCCAGATAGACAAGGTTTTCGTCAGCAGACGTTTGAACACCAGGATTATGAAGCCATTTCAGCGTTCGTCTCATTAGCTTGTCGATCAAGAGAGTTAGTGGATATCGAAGAATACTTGAGGAGGCACATCGGCAAATGAAATGCGATCAAACAGAGGACATCGGATTGGCGCTAGCCCAACAGGGTACGGCATCGAACCGGCGAAGAATTATTCAACCCGCCATTCCGAAGACGTCGCCCATGGGCCAGCAAACTATATCTTCCATGCATAAAGCATGTTTGATCAAGTCCGTGTGTACATGAGTCTGTCTGGCTTGGTGAAAGCAATACAGATGTTCTATACTTCACTAGTAGACAAATGAGTGTTTTTCACCACAGCCTCTGGGAATTCCTTCATTCGACCATGGATAGTTTCGAAAAGCTTAGCCCTAAACGTTGCATGTTTTTATTGTTCAAAGATGGACCACGGAATCATTCAGTACGATCGAAATAATCAACATCTATCAGGAATTAGATGATATCCCACTCCGGAGCATCAGGAGGCAGGCACCCACATTCCACTTGCCGTGATGTCGGGCTACACCAGCCTCTTAAGGCTAAGAGAGTCGAATTAGTGAAGCGTTGCCGCCGAACAGGGAAAAATATTCTTCATTTGTCGGATCAGGCCATTCAGTCAAACCACAGGCAAGATCATGCGACCAACCTCCGCATTCTCATTCACAGGCCCGAAAACACCGAAAGACTCTCAAGAAGCTGCATACAAGCCCACGTAGGCACCCTGATCGGTCCACTCTGATCTGCTTGGACGGCAATTACGTAACCACTGTTCCATATCTAAATCAAAACCCAGCAAAATAAAACACAGTCCATCCTTCGGGTAGTTAGTTTCCTATTCAACGATTCGCAATAGCTATGACGTGGAATATCCACTTTACCCTCGACTGAACTCAATATCGTCAACGACAGCAGCGTCCGCGAAGGGTACTTCAGTAGGACTACGTAAACCTAGCGAACAAACTATTATGGTGAGAATAAGGGGCAGTAAGGAGCTAGTGCGAGTATACCACGAACACCAGGTACTCGCAGTTCTAACACTCAACCACACAACCTGCATATGGACATTGGTTAGTCGGAAAATCATCCAGTGTCTCCAGCCAAGCATAAGGACACTCACGTTGGTTGGTTCGGACGCCCTCTTGAAAGCGAGAGAGAATACTGATTGGTCCCATCCCTCTCAAACACTCTTGAACCCAAATACGTACAAACAAGCTAGTCAAGGCAGGGCACGAAGACTCCCCTCCATTCTTGAATAACACTGGGGAAATCATATCTGGCACAGCATACCGATGGCGTTTCAGTGCAGTCATATTAATATCAGAAACTATAGTGACGGTGGGTTGAATGAAGAATATAAGGTGGCTAAATAAATTGTTGTTGAAAATGTTCCGCCCACAGACCCAGAGAGTCGTATTTGTTATATGGCATCATCATCATCAATGTCAGATGTAATAACCGCGTACTTGACGTACAGTGGTTGTAGCTGCCTCAGATTCGGGGAAGTGGGGTAAAGAAATAAAGAAAAGCGTTCAGCTGTAGCACCCTTCCGGTGCCTAGCTGCCATGCCACCCGAAAAAAGCACGAGGGCTGGGATACTGCCAGGTTGCCCAAGCCTAGACAGGGGAAGTCGAGTGGCGGAGGTCGGATGCGAACCACGGACCTTCCGGTCAGTAAATTCGCGCCTTGGGCCATCTCGCCCCATTGGAATCGGGAGCTGGTAAATTGGTGCGTAAATTCGTGACTGTTAGTCAAACACTGAAATTCTTTTGACGTCCTCGGCGCGCAGCGGCCAGGTCTCTGGTCCATATAGTAGTAGTAGTAATCCATATAGTAGCATCACAGCATTATAAACTCTACCCTTGACAGAGGAGCTGGTGTCAAGCCTACGCCACAGGTGACGCAGGTTCCCAAAAGCTGCACTGGCCTTATATGACACGTCTCCAATTTTATCTTTGATTGGCTAAATACGGACAATCTTTTAGACGCTCTCTTGCGCAACAACCAGGAGAACTTCTGTGCATTCCCAATCACACTGCTCTCCTGTAATTCCTGAACTTACCGGCTCCATCAAACCTTCCTGTCTGCACACAGACTAAGCTGCAACTGCCGTCTAATTCATCGCCTAACTAGACTGCAATCCTATCCCTGAGGGATAGAGCGCTTCGGATTAAAGAGTGATAGTAACCAGCAGTTTTTGTGTGTGTTCGTAGAGTTTCTGCACCCGTGCACAGACGTAGGTATCTCGTCATAACTACGTTACTTGACTCTGACTATCGTACTGTGCGTTCATGTGTGTCTATCAGTTTTACGTCTGGAACACGACGGCCGCTTCAGGCCCACTGAGTTCATCACCCGCAAATCTTTTCTGTAGCCCAAAAATATCAAGTTAGCTGATAAAATTCCCGAACTCAGGCGGCACAAAAGTACTCATGATTTTAGAAGATTTAGAAGACAACCGGCAGGTGAGAGAAACCATGCTCACGTCTACTTTGAACCGTCCGACCGATGATGCATGCACACCCCAAAGAACGGACCTCGTTACCACCAGCGGCTCTAAGAGATGCCGGAGAAACTACACCAGCCATAAACGACTATGGTGGCGCACGCATATACCTCGAACAGCGAATAATGAAGAGCCTACGATTCTACAGGGAGTGCTGGTGGATAGCGAAAGCTCGAAGGATGGAGAAAGCTTTTCCAACTTCATTCTGGTTAATTCAAACAACTGATCCGAGGGCGGATGTTCGTGAAACCATCTCCGGAAAGGGTGGAACTACAAGTTAGTCTGACAAGCACCATCATGAATGGACTGAACATCTTGGAGAACAGTAAGGTCCCATCAGCCGAATCTTTGAAGTGGCCATATGAGTCCTAGTGGAATGTCCACACCAGCCCCCCGTCGGCAGTAGACATCCAGCTTGCAATTGAATTGCTTCAGCGCAACGAAGCGCCTAGTGAATGCAACCTACATTTAGCACCCTTCAACAGAGGCCGCAAGTTCCTCGAAATTCCAAAATATCTGCAGTGAAGTCAAAATACCAACAGAATG